ATCTTCAACTCAAGCACTCGTTGTATGGAATCTCATGCACTCGGGAAATTTGAAATGTGGCCCTGCTCTGGATGGGAACAGGAGAGGGTGGAGGGGCAGAGGAGAGGATCATTAAGCAGGGGGTTGAGGGGAGAGGCCAAGGGAAGGAGAGTTGGGGGTGGAAGGGGGGAACGAGGGTGGAGGGGCAGGGGGCTGCAATAACATGTGCGGGCACATCACATGTTTCAAGCGTGTTTTCAAATCTGTGTTGTGAAGTTACAACGCATGTTCATTCACTCTCTCACGCTCCACCCAATTCCTCCTTCCTTCCATTTCCTTTTACTTTCCTTTTTTCTCCTAATATTCTTCCCATGCTTCCCTGTTCCTTCCTACATCTTCTGTCCTTCGACTCTCTCTCCTCCTTCCATTCCATCTCTCCCATCTCCCCACTCAGCTTCCCACGTCGCATAGCACCACACCACACCGCAATGCACCGCACACAGTACCTTGATCTTCTTGAAGAGGCTGGGAATGTTCTCGTCATCAAACGGCAGGCTGCCACACAGCAGCGCGTACAGGATCACCCCCGCGCTCCACACGTCCACCTCAGGCCTTCAATCTCCCTCTCCCTTCCCCTCCAACTCTCCATCTCCCCACTCTCCTTCCCCCACTGCATTACATCATACTGCACAGCACAGCACCGCAATGTACCGCACTGCACCGCGCACAGTACCTTGATCTTCTTGAAGAGGCTGGGAATGTTCTCGTCATCAAACGGTAAGCTGCCACACAGCAGCGCGTACAGGATCACCCCCGCGCTCCACACGTCCACCTCAGGCCCCGCGTATAGCTTCCCGGAAATGACCTGCAGGGGAAGAATATAGCGGAACATTGCATGGCATGGCAGGGGACGGCGTGGTGCAGCATGGCATGGAATGGCATGGCACAAAATGAGACATTGGAGTTTCCAGATCTGCTGCCATGGTGTAGCACTGTTTTGTGCTTCATTCAGCTACTCCATCCACCACATTACTCTAAACGTTTGAGAATCAAAGGAGGAGAAAATAACAATAACAATGAAAAATAATAATCTGACACACGAGCAAAACAAGTGGCACATAAATTTGTTTGTTTGAATCAGACCACATGCTGAGCAGCAATGGCCAATGAAAAGGCAGCAGCACACAGCTGAAGAGCAGCATCGTTTGCAAAACGACTCACAGGCATACTCATGAAGTCGCCACCTCCACATTGTATGACTTATTCTAAAATCCCAGACTCACCCGTTACCCATTACCCGCTACTCATACCCTGTTGTCCATTACTCGTGGCACCCACTCTCAAGCAGCGTAACTGGAGAAACTGCCATACCTCGGGAGCAGTATTATTGGGGCTGCCACACCACAGGACGTCTTAAGGAAGTGGCCGCCGTGCATGACATTGCTGAGCCCTTAAGTCGGCGATTCCTAAGTCAAGTCACTCTGAAAGCCACCTGATTCGCCTGTGCGTGCCTTGGGAGCAGCGTAGTTAAGAGGAACCGGCATACCTCGGGCGCAGCATAGTTGGGGCTGCCACAGGACGTTTTGAGGAAGTGGCCGTCGCGCATGACATTAAAGTCCGCGATCTTGAAGCAAAGGCAGTCACTCTCGAAGGTAGGCACCTGACTTGCCAATACGCACCTCGGGAGCAGCGTAGTTGGGGCTGCCGCAGGACGTTTTGAGAAAATGCCCGTCACGCATGACGTTGCTGAGCCCTTGGTCGACAATTTTGATGTCTCTGACTGACACCCACCTGAATCGCCCGTGCGTACCTCGGGAGCAGCGTAGTTGGGGCTGCCGCAGGACGTTTTGAGAAAATGCCCGTCGCGCATGACGTTGCTGAGCCCGAAATCCGCGATCTTGATGTTGCCCTTGCCGTCCAGCAGCAGGTTCTCGGGCTTTAAGTCGCGATGCACCACCATGTTGCGATGGCAGTACTCCACGCCGCTGATGATCTGCAGCATGTGGCGAAGGGGATTTGGGAATGCCAGGGAGAGGGGGAGAGAGGGGAGAGAGGAGAGAAGGAGCGGGATTGAAGTTCTGATACGTGCACCACCATGTTGCGATGACAGTACTCCACCCCGCTGATGATCTGCAGCAGCATGGTGCGAATGTGAGGCGAGGATGTGAGGACGGGAGGGGAAGGAAGCGAGCGGGATTTAAGTTCTGATGCATGTACCATGGCGTTTCAGTGGTAGTACTCCGCGCTGCTGATGATCTGCACGGGAAAGAGGGACGTGAATGTGAGGGAGAGGGAGAGAGACGGGAGAGCGGGAATCTATGTCCCGGTTCATGAAGCACCATAATGTTGCGATGCCATTGCAGTACTCCATCCATCCTGCTGATGATCCGCAGTAATGGGGTAAAGAGGGTGGCTGGGAAGACGAAGGGGGGGAGAGAGGAGAGGAGGAGGGCTGGCGAGGGAGGGAGAAACGTAAGTGAAGATACGACCTTCAGGTAGTTACGACAACTCGAGCCCCGAAGTAACGACAACAGACACCCACGCCCACCTGTTGAAAGAATCGGCGCGCTTCATCCTCTGCGAGGCGGCCTTTTTCGACGATGCAGTCGAAGAGCTCGCCGCACTTGACGTACTCCATGATCACGAAGATGTCCGTGGGCGTCTCGATCACCTCGTACTGCCGGATGATGTGCGGATGCATGAACAGCCGTAGGATCTTGATCTCGCGCTTCACTGATGGACGGACGGAGGGTTGGAGGGAGAGGAGGGAGGGAAATGAAGAAATTCTGGATGGGAATAATGGGAGAGGGTGTCGGTGGGTGGTTCTTGTAACGTCGTAGTGGTGAATGAAGTGTGATTGAATAGCGAAAGGAAATGGGAATGAAGTGCAAAATGACGGGTCGACGAAGAGAAGATGGAAGTGCGGATGGATAAAGAGGGCTCATGATTTTGACATCATTCTTCTCGATGTGCGACGAATAAGGGAGGAATCGCGGGCCGAAACGGAACACGGAAACGCAAAAATGAAAGACGCAACGTGAGCAACGCACGGAAATGTTTGCCACTTGAAGGGAATCGGATATTAACAAAGAACAGAAGGAAATGTTAAATAGCAGAGTAAAACGCAGACCGCTGCTAGAATCACGCAAAAGACGCACCTTTTTCGTCCATGTCCATGGATCGGATCTTCTTCCTGTTGAGGATTTTAATCGCCACTTTATGACCTGTCAGTACATGCTCCGCTACTTTTACCTTACCGAACGAGCCTATACCGAGCGTCTTGCCTAACCTGTAATTCGGGAGATAAAACTCTGCATTCGCGCCGCCGTAACCGCGGCCGTACGAAGGGCCATCCATCGGGGAGGTAAGGTTCGTTTATTGAGGTAGAACGAGTATTTTCGCTCTAAAAAGGCACCGTATCTAGCTACTATGGTTCCGTTCTGCGACTCGGGGATTGGTCGTGCGGCGGTACTGATATTATAATGTTATTTTACTATCCAAAGGGAATGCCTGTTGAAACTGAAAGGCTCCAGACGGAAGCCATTCCAACGTGTTAGCGATTCTACCCAGAAAATCGGAGCCTTCGGCTTCCGCACAGCCTAGACGTCCGTCTTGACTCAACGTGCGCTTGAACCTATCGAAACTAGAATTCAGGGAAGAACTACGAAGGCATACAGACTTTCGTTCTCTGAATCAGCAGTATATATTTGCTGATAATGGCTGGAGCAACATTAACTGACTGTCCAACAGAGAAACTAGCAGCACGCAAATGCCTGGAGGAAATGGCGGCAATGAGCAAATGTACAACGCATAAAGATTTAGGTGGCGTAGGACGGGATGATGAGGTGCAGTTACTGTGTTGTGCGTTGTCTGCTGGTGGAATTCTGAAAAACTAGGCACAGGAGGAGAGAAGAATACGCGTGTTGCGGTGGTGAGGTGAGGTGAGGTGACATGAAATGAAACCCGGTTAGATTTGTTCGTCCACGGGGTGGAATAGAAACTGCTGTGGAGGGGATATGGCAGGGCAGAAGTGAGCTGGTTTGGGCGTTGCTTGACTGGCTGCCACGCCGCCGTATATTGCTCTCGTGCTGTCGTGGATTGGCCCAGATGTGACGTTTGCATGGGATGCAGAGCACGCGATCGACGTGAATGCACGTGCGGCATTGGAATTTGCAGTAAGGGTGTGTCGTACATTTCGCAGCATCGTTTCGCAGAAATCATACATTACGAGACTATCATCAGTTTGTTTGGTGCAGAAGGAAGAAGTAACCAGCTTGCGAAGCCCTCAGAGGTTACTTTGCTGCCCACCTCCCCATTTGTCGAGCCGATTGCGTCAGGTCTGGGTGACTTGACGTGGATGCTGCAATTTGCTGACCTGGTCAGGAGGACCTAGCGAGGACATCCCAAACGAATTTGTGCAGTGGTCATGTCACTCGGCTTATTACAAAAGGATGCACTTTGGATTAATAACATATGAGAACAAATGTTATCACAAGTAGTACCTTAAACTACATCATGCATTATCAGCAGTGTTAATATATTTGTTTTGCTAAAATACACAAGGACAAATTAGTTATCCATTCCAGAAGCTGGGCCCAGCTTGGAGAAAAAAATGAGTTTTTCCGGTAAATCAACATTCAACTGTAGGATACTGATCTCATAGTAAGTTCTTTCTTTCTTTGATCCTTTTCATGTGTATGTTGATCCCAATCACTCGTTATTCTGGTTTTCTACCATGTCTAATAATGGCATTCAGATGACAAACAAGACGACTTAGAAAGGGGCGCTGATTAAAACGAGGCGAAGTGCTGTTAGCCCCTTCGCATTTACACCACGTGGCAAACATCCCGCAACGCCCGCCATTCAGCTGGAAGCGCTCCCATCTGGCGCAATTCCACGCGTCCATTCTCTACACACTCCCACAAAGCCGTTCCTGGGTTGCTGTAGTCTCTTCCAGACGCATATCTTGGTATGGAAATGATCTCACTCCTTCACACTACGATCCTACGAGCTTCGAGCTGATGTTCATGTTTCCTGTAGGAGGTCGGCTTGTCGCCGCGATCACAGCCCCCCCTGCTGGGAATATAGTGGCAAGGTAGCGTTAGATTCATAGCATTGCTCGTCAGATTCTTTTTACCTCCTGCAGTGACGATCGCCGGGGTGCGTTGCGTATCAACGCGGAGGGATTAGCGTGCCAATTCGCGGAGTCCGGGCGACGTTTTGACTCAGAGGCGAGTTGGGTGTGCGCGTGGAGGGGAAGGGCTTTGTCACACTTGGCGCCATCCGTAGGACGAGATTTCCCTCCTGTTTTTTTTTCGGGGTGAATTTCGTTCGCAGCCGAGTATTGTGGTGACAAAATGAATGAAAGCCACGGGGAAGGGGAGGGGAAGGGGTTGATGCGGGAGGAGCGGGGATCGGCGGAGCGAGAGAGAACCCGTCGAGTGGAGTAACGACAGGAGATCCGTCGCGTGACGGCGATGGCGCAAGTGGCGCAAATGGCGCAAGCAGCGCAATTGGCGCCAGTGGCGCAAGCGGTGCCAGTGGCGCAAGTGGTGGCGGCGGCGGCTCCGAGAAGCGCGCAGGGAGCGCGGAAGACGCAGGGCGCGCGGGGAGCTCGGGGGGCGCGGGGATCGCGGGAGGTGCGGAGGGCGCGGGGAGTGGGAGTGAGAAGCGGGCGGGCTCGGAGGGGAGGGAGGTGCGCGTGTATGTGGACGGGATCTTCGACCTGTTCCACTTCGGCCATGCGCAGGCGCTGCAACAAGCCAAAGAGCTGTAGGCCGCATGGGGGGAGGACTCGGGGGAGTGTAGGGGGAAGAGTGGGGCATTTATGACTGGATGGATTGACTCAGAGTTCCATCCTGTTTGAGTCCCCCTTTTTTCATTCTGCAACTGCAGTGTTTCTTGTTTGTCCATCTGCTGTTGCGTGCACAGGTTCCCGCGGACATACCTTATAGTGGGTTGCTGCAATGACGAGGACACAGCAAGGCTCAAGGGCCCTACGGTGCTAACCCACAAGGAGCGATGCCTAGCCCTCAAACACTGCCGGTAATCAGTCTCTCTGCTTCCCCTGCGCTGCTCAATTGATTGCTTTTGAAAAAGCGCTGCGCTGCACGCATTTCCGTGCTCATCTGTTCCTTGCCACAGTCTCAGCATGTGTGCACCCATCCATGCCTTCATGTATGTGTGCATCCACCCATGCTCCCATATGTCGACACTTGTGCATACGCACATCCCCACACTACATGAGCAGGTGGGTGGATGAGGTGGTGGAGAATGCGCCATGGGTGCTCACAGAGGAGTTTATAGCCCGCCATGCCATCGACTATGTAGCTCACGACTCCATCCCTTACATGTGCGTGTGCACGCTTTGAGGCGGTTCCATTGGGTTCCATTGGGTTCCATTGGGTTCCATTGGGTTCCACTGTTCTCCACTGGCACTTGGGTCGCTTCAAAAGCCTGAACACCCCCCCTGTTTGCACACCCCGCCCGACATGCCATCGACTATGTAACACACGACTCCATCCCTTACATGTGCGTGTGTGCGTATGGGTGTGCATGTGCATGGGGGTATGGCTACATACCTTTCATCACCTGCCATGCCATCGACTATGTAGCACACGACTGCATCCCTTACATGTGCGCACTCCTGCCACTCCTGCCACTCCTGCCACTCCTGCCACTCCTGCCACTCCTGCCACTCCTGCCACTCCTGCCACTCCTGCCACTCCTGCCACTCCTGCCACTCCTGCCACTCCTGCCACTCCTGCCACTCCTGCCACTCCTGCCACTCCTGCCACTCCTGCCACTCCTGCCACTCCTGCCACTCCTGCCACTCCTGCCACTCCTGCCACTCCTGCCACTCCTGCCACTCCTGCCACTCCTGCCACTCCTGCCACTCCTGCCACTCCTGCCACTCCTGCCACTCCTGCCACTCCTGCCACTCCTGCCACTCCTGCCACTCCTGCCACTCCTGCCACTCCTGCCACTCCTGCCACTCCTGCCACTCCTGCCACTCCTGCCACTCCTGCCACTCCTGCCACTCCTGCCACTCCTGCCACTCCTGCCACTCCTGCCACTCCTGCCACTCCTGCCACTCCTGCCACTCCTGCCACTCCTGCCACTCCTGCCACTCCTGCCACTCCTGCCACTCCTGCCACTCCTGCCACTCCTGCCACTCCTGCCACTCCTGCCACTCCTGCCACTCCTGCCACTCCTGCCACTCCTGCCACTCCTGCCACTCCTGCCACTCCTGCCACTCCTGCCACTCCTGCCACTCCTGCCACTCCTGCCACTCCTGCCACTCCTGCCACTCCTGCCACTCCTGCCACTCCTGCCACTCCTGCCACTCCTGCCACTCCTGCCACTCCTGCCACTCCTGCCACTCCTGCCACTCCTGCCACTCCTGCCACTCCTGCCACTCCTGCCACTCCTGCCACTCCTGCCACTCCTGCCACTCCTGCCACTCCTGCCACTCCTGCCACTCCTGCCACTCCTGCCACTCCTGCCACTCCTGCCACTCCTGCCACTCCTGCCACTCCTGCCACTCCTGCCACTCCTGCCACTCCTGCCACTCCTGCCACTCCTGCCACTCCTGCCACTCCTGCCACTCCTGCCACTCCTGCCACTCCTGCCACTCCTGCCACTCCTGCCACTCCTGCCACTCCTGCCACTCCTGCCACTCCTGCCACTCCTGCCACTCCTGCCACTCCTGCCACTCCTGCCACTCCTGCCACTCCTGCCACTCCTGCCACTCCTGCCACTCCTGCCACTCCTGCCACTCCTGCCACTACCTGCACTCCTGCCACTCCTGCCACTCCTGCCACTCCTGCCACTCCTTGCCACTCCCTGCCACTCCTGCCACTCCTGCCACTCCTGCCCACTCCTGCCACTCCTGCCACTCCTGCACTCCTGCCACTCCTGCCACTCCTGCCACTCCTGCCACTCCTGCCACTCCTGCCCACTCCTGCCACTCCTGCCACTCCTGCCACTCCTGCCACTCCTGCCACTCCCTGCCACTACCTGCCACTCCTGCCACTCCTGCCACTCCTGCCACTCCTGCCACTCCTGCCACTCCTGCCACTCCTGCCACTCCTGCCACTCCTGCCACTCCTCCACTCCTGCCACTCCTGCCACTCCTGCCACTCCTGCCACTCCTGCCACTCCTGCCACTCCTGCCCTCCTGCCACTCCTGACCACTCCTGCCACTCCTGCCACTCCTGCCACTCCTGCCACTCCTGCCACTCCTGCCACTTACCTGCCACTCCTAGCACTCTCCTGCCACTACCTGCCACTCCTGCCACTCCTGCCACTCCTGCCACCCTGCCACTCCTGCCACTCCTGCACACTCCTGCCACTCCTGCCACTCCTGCCACTCCTGCCACTCCTGCCACTCCTGCCACTCCTGCCACTCCTGCCACTCCTGCCACTCCTGCCACTCCTGCCACTCCTGCCACTCCTGCCACTCCTGCCACTCCTGCCACTCCTGCCACTCCTGCCACTCCTGCCACTCCTGCCACTCCTGCCACTCCTGCCACTCCTGCCACTCCTGCCACTCCTGCCACTCCTGCCACTCCTGCCACTCCTGCCACTCCTGCCACTCCTGCCACTCCTGCCACTCCTGCCACTCCTGCCACTCCTGCCACTCCTGCCACTCCTGCCACTCCTGCCACTCCTGCCACTCCTGCCACTCCTGCCACTCCTGCCACTCCTGCCACTCCTGCCACTCCTGCCACTCCTGCCACTCCTGCCACTCCTGCCACTCCTGCCACTCCTGCCACTCCTGCCACTCCTGCCACTCCTGCCACTCCTGCCACTCCTGCCACTCCTGCCACTCCTGCCACTCCTGCCACTCCTGCCACTCCTGCCACTCCTGCCACTCCTGCCACTCCTGCCACTCCTGCCACTCCTGCCACTCCTGCCACTCCTGCCACTCCTGCCACTCCTGCCACTCCTGCCACTCCTGCCACTCCTGCCACTCCTGCCACTCCTGCCACTCCTGCCACTCCTGCCACTCCTGCCACTCCTGCCACTCCTGCCACTCCTGCCACTCCTGCCACTCCTGCCACTCCTGCCACTCCTGCCACTCCTGCCACTCCTGCCACTCCTGCCACTCCTGCCACTCCTGCCACTCCTGCCACTCCTGCCACTCCTGCCACTCCTGCCACTCCTGCCACTCCTGCCACTCCTGCCACTCCTGCCACTCCTGCCACTCCTGCCACTCCTGCCACTCCTGCCACTCCTGCCACTCCTGCCACTCCTGCCACTCCTGCCACTCCTGCCACTCCTGCCACTCCTGCCACTCCTGCCACTCCTGCCACTCCTGCCACTCCTGCCACTCCTGCCACTCCTGCCACTCCTGCCACTCCTGCCACTCCTGCCACTCCTGCCACTCCTGCCACTCCTGCCACTCCTGCCACTCCTGCCACTCCTGCCACTCCTGCCACTCCTGCCACTCCTGCCACTCCTGCCACTCCTGCCACTCCTGCCACTCCTGCCACTCCTGCCACTCCTGCCACTCCTGCCACTCCTGCCACTCCTGCCACTCCTGCCACTCCTGCCACTCCTGCCACTCCTGCCACTCCTGCCACTCCTGCCACTCCTGCCACTCCTGCCACTCCTGCCACTCCTGCCACTCCTGCCACTCCTGCCACTCCTGCCACTCCTGCCACTCCTGCCACTCCTGCCACTCCTGCCACTCCTGCCACTCCTGCCACTCCTGCCACTCCTGCCACTCCTGCCACTCCTGCCACTCCTGCCACTCCTGCCACTCCTGCCACTCCTGCCACTCCTGCCACTCCTGCCACTCCTGCCACTCCTGCCACTCCTGCCACTCCTGCCACTCCTGCCACTCCTGCCACTCCTGCCACTCCTGCCACTCCTGCCACTCCTGCCACTCCTGCCACTCCTGCCACTCCTGCCACTCCTGCCACTCCTGCCACTCCTGCCACTCCTGCCACTCCTGCCACTCCTGCCACTCCTGCCACTCCTGCCACTCCTGCCACTCCTGCCACTCCTGCCACTCCTGCCACTCCTGCCACTCCTGCCACTCCTGCCACTCCTGCCACTCCTGCCACTCCTGCCACTCCTGCCACTCCTGCCACTCCTGCCACTCCTGCCACTCCTGCCACTCCTGCCACTCCTGCCACTCCTGCCACTCCTGCCACTCCTGCCACTCCTGCCACTCCTGCCACTCCTGCCACTCCTGCCACTCCTGCCACTCCTGCCACTCCTGCCACTCCTGCCACTCCTGCCACTCCTGCCACTCCTGCCACTCCTGCCACTCCTGCCACTCCTGCCACTCCTGCCACTCCTGCCACTCCTGCCACTCCTGCCACTCCTGCCACTCCTGCCACTCCTGCCACTCCTGCCACTCCTGCCACTCCTGCCACTCCTGCCACTCCTGCCACTCCTGCCACTCCTGCCACTCCTGCCACTCCTGCCACTCCTGCCACTCCTGCCACTCCTGCCACTCCTGCCACTCCTGCCACTCCTGCCACTCCTGCCACTCCTGCCACTCCTGCCACTCCTGCCACTCCTGCCACTCCTGCCACTCCTGCCACTCCTGCCACTCCTGCCACTCCTGCCACTCCTGCCACTCCTGCCACTCCTGCCACTCCTGCCACTCCTGCCACTCCTGCCACTCCTGCCACTCCTGCCACTCCTGCCACTCCTGCCACTCCTGCCACTCCTGCCACTCCTGCCACTCCTGCCACTCCTGCCACTCCTGCCACTCCTGCCACTCCTGCCACTCCTGCCACTCCTGCCACTCCTGCCACTCCTGCCACTCCTGCCACTCCTGCCACTCCTGCCACTCCTGCCACTCCTGCCACTCCTGCCACTCCTGCCACTCCTGCCACTCCTGCCACTCCTGCCACTCCTGCCACTCCTGCCACTCCTGCCACTCCTGCCACTCCTGCCACTCCTGCCACTCCTGCCACTCCTGCCACTCCTGCCACTCCTGCCACTCCTGCCACTCCTGCCACTCCTGCCACTCCTGCCACTCCTGCCACTCCTGCCACTCCTGCCACTCCTGCCACTCCTGCCACTCCTGCCACTCCTGCCACTCCTGCCACTCCTGCCACTCCTGCCACTCCTGCCACTCCTGCCACTCCTGCCACTCCTGCCACTCCTGCCACTCCTGCCACTCCTGCCACTCCTGCCACTCCTGCCACTCCTGCCACTCCTGCCACTCCTGCCACTCCTGCCACTCCTGCCACTCCTGCCACTCCTGCCACTCCTGCCACTCCTGCCACTCCTGCCACTCCTGCCACTCCTGCCACTCCTGCCACTCCTGCCACTCCTGCCACTCCTGCCACTCCTGCCACTCCTGCCACTCCTGCCACTCCTGCCACTCCTGCCACTCCTGCCACTCCTGCCACTCCTGCCACTCCTGCCACTCCTGCCACTCCTGCCACTCCTGCCACTCCTGCCACTCCTGCCACCTACCTGCCACTCCTGCCACTCCTGCCACTCCTGCCACTCCTGCCACTCCTGCCACTCCTGCCACTCCTGCCACTCCTGCCACTCTGCCACTCCTGCCACTCCTGCCACTCCTGCCACTCCTGCCACTCCTGCCACTCCTGCCACTCCTGCCACTCCTGCCACTTCCTGCCACTCCTGCCACTCCTGCCACTCCTGCCACTCCTGCCACTCCTGCCACTCCTGCCCACTCCTGCCACTCCTGCCACTCCTGCCACTCCTGCCACTCCTGCCACTCCCTGCCACTCCTGCCACTCCTGCCACTCCTGCCACTCCTGCCCACCCTCCCGCCACTCCTGCCACTCCTGCCACTCCTGCCACTCCTGCCACTCCTGCCACTCCTGCCACTCCTTGCCACTCCTGCCACTCCTGCCACTCCTGCCACTCCTGCCACTCCTGCCACTCCTGCCACTCCTGCCACTCCTGCCACTCCTGCCACTCCTGCCACTCCTGCCACTCCTGCCACTCCTGCCACTCCTGCCACTCCTGCCACTCCTGCCACTCCTGCCACTCCTGCCACTCCTGCCACTCCTGCCACTCCTGCCACTCCTGCCACTCCTGCCACTCCTGCCACTCCTGCCACTCCTGCCACTCCTGCCACTCCTGCCACTCCTGCCACTCCTGCCACTCCTGCCACTCCTGCCACTCCTGCCACTCCTGCCACTCCTGCCACTCCTGCCACTCCTGCCACTCCTGCCACTCCTGCCACTCCTGCCACTCCTGCCACTCCTGCCACTCCTGCCACTCCTGCCACTCCTGCCACTCCTGCCACTCCTGCCACTCCTGCCACTCCTGCCACTCCTGCCACTCCTGCCACTCCTGCCACTCCTGCCACTCCTGCCACTCCTGCCACTCCTGCCACTCCTGCCACTCCTGCCACTCCTGCCACTCCTGCCACTCCTGCCACTCCTGCCACTCCTGCCACTCCTGCCACTCCTGCCACTCCTGCCACTCCTGCCACTCCTGCCACTCCTGCCACTCCTGCCACTCCTGCCACTCCTGCCACTCCTGCCACTCCTGCCACTCCTGCCACTCCTGCCACTCCTGCCACTCCTGCCACTCCTGCCACTCCTGCCACTCCTGCCACTCCTGCCACTCCTGCCACTCCTGCCACTCCTGCCACTCCTGCCACTCCTGCCACTCCTGCCACTCCTGCCACTCCTGCCACTCCTGCCACTCCTGCCACTCCTGCCACTCCTGCCACTCCTGCCACTCCTGCCACTCCTGCCACTCCTGCCACTCCTGCCACTCCTGCCACTCCTGCCACTCCTGCCACTCCTGCCACTCCTGCCACTCCTGCCACTCCTGCCACTCCTGCCACTCCTGCCACTCCTGCCACTCCTGCCACTCCTGCCACTCCTGCCACTCCTGCCACTCCTGCCACTCCTGCCACTCCTGCCACTCCTGCCACTCCTGCCACTCCTGCCACTCCTGCCACTCCTGCCACTCCTGCCACTCCTGCCACTCCTGCCACTCCTGCCACTCCTGCCACTCCTGCCACTCCTGCCACTCCTGCCACTCCTGCCACTCCTGCCACTCCTGCCACTCCTGCCACTCCTGCCACTCCTGCCACTCCTGCCACTCCTGCCACTCCTGCCACTCCTGCCACTCCTGCCACTCCTGCCACTCCTGCCACTCCTGCCACTCCTGCCACTCCTGCCACTCCTGCCACTCCTGCCACTCCTGCCACTCCTGCCACTCCTGCCACTCCTGCCACTCCTGCCACTCCTGCCACTCCTGCCACTCCTGCCACTCCTGCCACTCCTGCCACTCCTGCCACTCCTGCCACTCCTGCCACTCCTGCCACTCCTGCCACTCCTGCCACTCCTGCCACTCCTGCCACTCCTGCCACTCCTGCCACTCCTGCCACTCCTGCCACTCCTGCCACTCCTGCCACTCCTGCCACTCCTGCCACTCCTGCCACTCCTGCCACTCCTGCCACTCCTGCCACTCCTGCCACTCCTGCCACTCCTGCCACTCCTGCCACTCCTGCCACTCCTGCCACTCCTGCCACTCCTGCCACTCCTGCCACTCCTGCCACTCCTGCCACTCCTGCCACTCCTGCCACTCCTGCCACTCCTGCCACTCCTGCCACTCCTGCCACTCCTGCCACTCCTGCCACTCCTGCCACTCCTGCCACTCCTGCCACTCCTGCCACTCCTGCCACTCCTGCCACTCCTGCCACTCCTGCCACTCCTGCCACTCCTGCCACTCCTGCCACTCCTGCCACTCCTGCCACTCCTGCCACTCCTGCCACTCCTGCCACTCCTGCCACTCCTGCCACTCCTGCCACTCCTGCCACTCCTGCCACTCCTGCCACTCCTGCCACTCCTGCCACTCCTGCCACTCCTGCCACTCCTGCCACTCCTGCCACTCCTGCCACTCCTGCCACTCCTGCCACTCCTGCCACTCCTGCCACTCCTGCCACTCCTGCCACTCCTGCCACTCCTGCCACTCCTGCCACTCCTGCCACTCCTGCCACTCCTGCCACTCCTGCCACTCCTGCCACTCCTGCCACTCCTGCCACTCCTGCCACTCCTGCCACTCCTGCCACTCCTGCCACTCCTGCCACTCCTGCCACTCCTGCCACTCCTGCCACTCCTGCCACTCCTGCCACTCCTGCCACTCCTGCCACTCCTGCCACTCCTGCCACTCCTGCCACTCCTGCCACTCCTGCCACTCCTGCCACTCCTGCCACTCCTGCCACTCCTGCCACTCCTGCCACTCCTGCCACTCCTGCCACTCCTGCCACTCCTGCCACTCCTGCCACTCCTGCCACTCCTGCCACTCCTGCCACTCCTGCCACTCCTGCCACTCCTGCCACTCCTGCCACTCCTGCCACTCCTGCCACTCCTGCCACTCCTGCCACTCCTGCCACTCCTGCCACTCCTGCCACTCCTGCCACTCCTGCCACTCCTGCCACTCCTGCCACTCCTGCCACTCCTGCCACTCCTGCCACTCCTGCCACTCCTGCCACTCCTGCCACTCCTGCCACTCCTGCCACTCCTGCCACTCCTGCCACTCCTGCCACTCCTGCCACTCCTGCCACTCCTGCCACTCCTGCCACTCCTGCCACTCCTGCCACTCCTGCCACTCCTGCCACTCCTGCCACTCCTGCCACTCCTGCCACTCCTGCCACTCCTGCCACTCCTGCCACTCCTGCCACTCCTGCCACTCCTGCCACTCCTGCCACTCCTGCCACTCCTGCCACTCCTGCCACTCCTGCCACTCCTGCCACTCCTGCCACTCCTGCCACTCCTGCCACTCCTGCCACTCCTGCCACTCCTGCCACTCCTGCCACTCCTGCCACTCCTGCCACTCCTGCCACTCCTGCCACTCCTGCCACTCCTGCCACTCCTGCCACTCCTGCCACTCCTGCCACTCCTGCCACTCCTGCCACTCCTGCCACTCCTGCCACTCCTGCCACTCCTGCCACTCCTGCCACTCCTGCCACTCCTGCCACTCCTGCCACTCCTGCCACTCCTGCCACTCCTGCCACTCCTGCCACTCCTGCCACTCCTGCCACTCCTGCCACTCCTGCCACTCCTGCCACTCCTGCCACTCCTGCCACTCCTGCCACTCCTGCCACTCCTGCCACTCCTGCCACTCCTGCCACTCCTGCCACTCCTGCCACTCCTGCCACTCCTGCCACTCCTGCCACTCCTGCCACTCCTGCCACTCCTGCCACTCCTGCCACTCCTGCCACTCCTGCCACTCCTGCCACTCCTGCCACTCCTGCCACTCCTGCCACTCCTGCCACTCCTGCCACTCCTGCCACTCCTGCCACTCCTGCCACTCCTGCCACTCCTGCCACTCCTGCCACTCCTGCCACTCCTGCCACTCCTGCCACTCCTGCCACTCCTGCCACTCCTGCCACTCCTGCCACTCCTGCCACTCCTGCCACTCCTGCCACTCCTGCCACTCCTGCCACTCCTGCCACTCCTGCCACTCCTGCCACTCCTGCCACTCCTGCCACTCCTGCCACTCCTGCCACTCCTGCCACTCCTGCCACTCCTGCCACTCCTGCCACTCCTGCCACTCCTGCCACTCCTGCCACTCCTGCCACTCCTGCCACTCCTGCCACTCCTGCCACTCCTGCCACTCCTGCCACTCCTGCCACTCCTGCCACTCCTGCCACTCCTGCCACTCCTGCCACTCCTGCCACTCCTGCCACTCCTGCCACTCCTGCCACTCCTGCCACTCCTGCCACTCCTGCCACTCCTGCCACTCCTGCCACTCCTGCCACTCCTGCCACTCCTGCCACTCCTGCCACTCCTGCCACTCCTGCCACTCCTGCCACTCCTGCCACTCCTGCCACTCCTGCCACTCCTGCCACTCCTGCCACTCCTGCCACTCCTGCCACTCCTGCCACTCCTGCCACTCCTGCCACTCCTGCCACTCCTGCCACTCCTGCCACTCCTGCCACTCCTGCCCTCTGCCACTCCTGCCACTCCTGCCACTCGCACTCCTGCCACTCCTGCCACTCTGCCACTCCTGCCACTCCTGCCACTCCTGCCACTCCTGCCACTCCTGCCACTCCTGCCACTCCTGCCACTCCTGCCACTCCTGCCACTCCTGCCACTCCTGCCACTCCTGCCACTCCTGCCACTCCTGCCACTCCTGCCACTCCTGCCACTCCTGCCACTCTGCCACTCCTGCCACCTCCTGCCACTCCTGCACTCCTGCCACTCCTGCCACTCCTGCCACTCCTGCCACTCCTGCCACTCCTGCCCACTCCTGCCACTCCTTGCCACTCCTGCCACTCCTGCCACTCCTGCCACTCTGCCTGCCACTCCTGCCACTCCTGCCACTCCTGCCACTCCTGCCACTCCTGCCACTCCTGCCACTCCTGCCACCTCCTGCCACTCCTGCCACTCCTGCCACTCCTGCCACTCCTGCCACTCCTGCCACTCCTGCCACTCCTGCCACTCCTGCCACTCCTGCCACTCCTGCCACTCCTGCCACTCCTGCCACTCCTGCCACTCCTGCCACTCCTGCCACTCCTGCCACTCCTGCCACTCCTGCCACTCCTGCCACTCCTGCCACTCCTGCCACTCCTGCCACTCCTGCCACTCCTGCCACTCCTGCCACTCCTGCCACTCCTGCCACTCCTGCCACTCCTGCCACTCCTGCCACTCCTGCCACTCCTGCCACTCCTGCCACTCCTGCCACTCCTGCCACTCCTGCCACTCCTGCCACTCCTGCCACTCCTGCCACTCCTGCCACTCCTGCCACTCCTGCCACTCCTGCCACTCCTGCCACTCCTGCCACTCCTGCCACTCCTGCCACTCCTGCCACTCCTGCCACTCCTGCCACTCCTGCCACTCCTGCCACTCCTGCCACTCCTGCCACTCCTGCCACTCCTGCCACTCCTGCCACTCCTGCCACTCCTGCCACTCCTGCCACTCCTGCCACTCCTGCCACTCCTGCCACTCCTGCCACTCCTGCCACTCCTGCCACTCCTGCCACTCCTGCCACTCCTGCCACTCCTGCCACTCCTGCCACTCCTGCCACTCCTGCCACTCCTGCCACTCCTGCCACTCCTGCCACTCCTGCCACTCCTGCCACTCCTGCCACTCCTGCCACTCCTGCCACTCCTGCCACTCCTGCCACTCCTGCCACTCCTGCCACTCCTGCCACTCCTGCCACTCCTGCCACTCCTGCCACTCCTGCCACTCCTGCCACTCCTGCCACTCCTGCCACTCCTGCCACTCCTGCCACTCCTGCCACTCCTGCCACTCCTGCCACTCCTGCCACTCCTGCCACTCCTGCCACTCCTGCCACTCCTGCCACTCCTGCCACTCCTGCCACTCCTGCCACTCCTGCCACTCCTGCCACTCCTGCCACTCCTGCCACTCCTGCCACTCCTGCCACTCCTGCCACTCCTGCCACTCCTGCCACTCCTGCCACTCCTGCCACTCCTGCCACTCCTGCCACTCCTGCCACTCCTGCCACTCCTGCCACTCCTGCCACTCCTGCCACTCCTGCCACTCCTGCCACTCCTGCCACTCCTGCCACTCCTGCCACTCCTGCCACTCCTGCCACTCCTGCCACTCCTGCCACTCCTGCCACTCCTGCCACTCCTGCCACTCCTGCCACTCCTGCCACTCCTGCCACTCCTGCCACTCCTGCCACTCCTGCCACTCCTGCCACTCCTGCCACTCCTGCCACTCCTGCCACTCCTGCCACTCCTGCCACTCCTGCCACTCCTGCCACTCCTGCCACTCCTGCCACTCCTGCCACTCCTGCCACTCCTGCCACTCCTGCCACTCCTGCCACTCCTGCCACTCCTGCCACTCCTGCCACTCCTGCCACTCCTGCCACTCCTGCCACTCCTGCCACTCCTGCCACTCCTGCCACTCCTGCCACTCCTGCCACTCCTGCCACTCCTGCCACTCCTGCCACTCCTGCCACTCCTGCCACTCCTGCCACTCCTGCCACTCCTGCCACTCCTGCCACTCCTGCCACTCCTGCCACTCCTGCCACTCCTGCCACTCCTGCCACTCCTGCCACTCCTGCCACTCCTGCCACTCCTGCCACTCCTGCCACTCCTGCCACTCCTGCCACTCCTGCCACTCCTGCCACTCCTGCCACTCCTGCCACTCCTGCCACTCCTGCCACTCCTGCCACTCCTGCCACTCCTGCCACTCCTGCCACTCCTGCCACTCCTGCCACTCCTGCCACTCCTGCCACTCCTGCCACTCCTGCCACTCCTGCCACTCCTGCCACTCCTGCCACTCCTGCCACTCCTGCCACTCCTGCCACTCCTGCCACTCCTGCCACTCCTGCCACTCCTGCCACTCCTGCCACTCCTGCCACTCCTGCCACTCCTGCCACTCCTGCCACTCCTGCCACTCCTGCCACTCCTGCCACTCCTGCCACTCCTGCCACTCCTGCCACTCCTGCCACTCCTGCCACTCCTGCCACTCCTGCCACTCCTGCCACTCCTGCCACTCCTGCCACTCCTGCCACTCCTGCCACTCCTGCCACTCCTGCCACTCCTGCCACTCCTGCCACTCCTGCCACTCCTGCCACTCCTGCCACTCCTGCCACTCCTGCCACTCCTGCCACTCCTGCCACTCCTGCCACTCCTGCCACTCCTGCCACTCCTGCCACTCCTGCCACTCCTGCCACTCCTGCCACTCCTGCCACTCCTGCCACTCCTGCCACTCCTGCCACTCCTGCCACTCCTGCCACTCCTGCCACTCCTGCCACTCCTGCCACTCCTGCCACTCCTGCCACTCCTGCCACTCCTGCCACTCCTGCCACTCCTGCCACTCCTGCCACTCCTGCCACTCCTGCCACTCCTGCCACTCCTGCCACTCCTGCCACTCCTGCCACTCCTGCCACTCCTGCCACTCCTGCCACTCCTGCCACTCCTGCCACTCCTGCCACTCCTGCCACTCCTGCCACTCCTGCCACTCCTGCCACTCCTGCCACTCCTGCCACTCCTGCCACTCCTGCCACTCCTGCCACTCCTGCCACTCCTGCCACTCCTGCCACTCCTGCCACTCCTGCCACTCCTGCCACTCCTGCCACTCCTGCCACTCCTGCCACTCCTGCCACTCCTGCCACTCCTGCCACTCCTGCCACTCCTGCCACTCCTGCCACTCCTGCCACTCCTGCCACTCCTGCCACTCCTGCCACTCCTGCCACTCCTGCCACTCCTGCCACTCCTGCCACTCCTGCCACTCCTGCCACTCCTGCCACTCCTGCCACTCCTGCCACTCCTGCCACTCCTGCCACTCCTGCCACTCCTGCCACTCCTGCCACTCCTGCCACTCCTGCCACTCCTGCCACTCCTGCCACTCCTGCCACTCCTGCCACTCCTGCCACTCCTGCCACTCCTGCCACTCCTGCCACTCCTGCCACTCCTGCCACTCCTGCCACTCCTGCCACTCCTGCCACTCCTGCCACTCCTGCCACTCCTGCCACTCCTGCCACTCCTGCCACTCCTGCCACTCCTGCCACTCCTGCCACTCCTGCCACTCCTGCCACTCCTGCCACTCCTGCCACTCCTGCCACTCCTGCCACTCCTGCCACTCCTGCCACTCCTGCCACTCCTGCCACTCCTGCCACTCCTGCCACTCCTGCCACTCCTGCCACTCCTGCCACTCCTGCCACTCCTGCCACTCCTGCCACTCCTGCCACTCCTGCCACTCCTGCCACTCCTGCCACTCCTGCCACTCCTGCCACTCCTGCCACTCCTGCCACTCCTGCCACTCCTGCCACTCCTGCCACTCCTGCCACTCCTGCCACTCCTGCCACTCCTGCCACTCCTGCCACTCCTGCCACTCCTGCCACTCCTGCCACTCCTGCCACTCCTGCCACTCCTGCCACTCCTGCCACTCCTGCCACTCCTGCCACTCCTGCCACTCCTGCCACTCCTGCCACTCCTGCCACTCCTGCCACTCCTGCCACTCCTGCCACTCCTGCCACTCCTGCCACTCCTGCCACTCCTGCCACTCCTGCCACTCCTGCCACTCCTGCCACTCCTGCCACTCCTGCCACTCCTGCCACTCCTGCCACTCCTGCCACTCCTGCCACTCCTGCCACTCCTGCCACTCCTGCCACTCCTGCCACTCCTGCCACTCCTGCCACTCCTGCCACTCCTGCCACTCCTGCCACTCCTGCCACTCCTGCCACTCCTGCCACTCCTGCCACTCCTGCCACTCCTGCCACTCCTGCCACTCCTGCCACTCCTGCCACTCCTGCCACTCCTGCCACTCCTGCCACTCCTGCCACTCCTGCCACTCCTGCCACTCCTGCCACTCCTGCCACTCCTGCCACTCCTGCCACTCCTGCCACTCCTGCCACTCCTGCCACTCCTGCCACTCCTGCCACTCCTGCCACTCCTGCCACTCCTGCCACTCCTGCCACTCCTGCCACTCCTGCCACTCCTGCCACTCCTGCCACTCCTGCCACTCCTGCCACTCCTGCCACTCCTGCACTCCTGCCACTCCTTGCCACTCCTGCCCAACTCCCGGCCAATCATGCCACTCCTGCCATCTGCCACTCCTGCCACTCCTGCCACTCCTGCCACTCCTGCCACTCCTGCCACTTCCTGCCACTCCTGCCACTCCTGACAATCCTGCCACTCCTGCCCACCTCCTGCCACTCCTGCCACTCCTGCCACTCCTGCCACTCCTGCCACTCCTGCCACTCCTGCCACTGCCTGCCACTCCTCGGCCACTCCTGCCACTCCATGGCCCACTCCTGCCACTCTGCCACTCCTGCCACTCCTGCCACTCCTGCCCCACTCCTGCCACTCCTGCCACTCCTGCCACCTCCTGCCACTCCTGCCACTCCTGCCACTCCATGCCACTCCTGCCAACTCCTGCCCCACTCCTGCCACTCCTGGCCACTCCTGCCACTCCTGCCACTCCTGCCACTCCTGCCACTCCTGCCCACTCCTGCCACTCCTGCCACTTCCCTGCCACTCCTGCCACTCCTGCCACTCCTGCCACTCCTGCCACTCCTGCCACTCCCTGCCACCTCCTGCCACTCCTGCCACTCCTGCCACTCCTGCCACTCCTGCCACTCCTGCCACTCCTGCCACTCCTGCCACTCCTGCCACTCCTGCCACTCCTGCCACTCCTGCCACTCCTGCCACTCCTGCCACTCCTGCCACTCCTGCCACTCCTGCCACTCCTGCCACTCCTGCCACTCCTGCCACTCCTGCCACTCCTGCCACTCCTGCCACTCCTGCCACTCCTGCCACTCCTGCCACTCCTGCCACTCCTGCCACTCCTGCCACTCCTGCCACTCCTGCACTCCTGCCACTCCTGCCACTCCTGCCACTCCTGCCACTCCTGCCACTCCTGCCACTCCTGCCACTCCTGCCACTCCTGCCACTCCTGCCACTCCTGCCACTCCTGCCACTCCTGCCACTCCTGCCACTCCTGCCACTCCTGCCACTCCTGCCACTCCCACCACTCCCACCGCTCCCACCGCTCCCACCGCTCCCACCAATCCATCCCTTATATGTCGCTGTATGATCCATCCTCCTCGTTTTCACTCTCCTCCTCCTCCTCCTCCTCCTCCTCCTCTTCAGCACATACACACGCCTCTCTGCCCTGTGCTCCTGTGCATTCCCTGTTAGGCAGGAAGCCATCAATTCCTTTCTCTCTCTCTCTCTTCCTCTTTTTTTTTCCTCTCAATAGTACCCACACCCGATCTCTCTGCCCCGGTGCTCCTGTGTTTTCAATGGCAGGCAGAAAGCAGAAGGAGGCTCCTCCAGCGAAGCTCAAGACGTCTATGCCTACGTGAGACGTTCCCTGCTTGGTCTTTGTCATCTAAGGCGTCTTGAAGGTCAAAGACGTTCCCTGCTGTGTCTCTGCCTATGTGACTTGCTGGGTGTTTCCTGAGGCACTTCAAAAATAATGTGTGTATGCCTATGTGCGCCAGTGTGCTGCCCGGTGACTGTCTTTTGACCGCAGCAGAAGTCTCCTCGGCTTTGCTCAATGGATGCCTTCTGAGCCATGCTAGACGTCTCAATAGTGCTTTCCGTCTTGCTTGGTGGCGTGAGGTTCATGCTGATTCTGCTGATTCATGCCTTTGAGCGTTCACAAGTCCGCAAATCCTTACCTCTGTTACTGCCAGAACACCTCACGTCTGTCACAGATTTAAGCGTAACTCGTTTTAGTTACCTTCAGTTAGCTAACTCATTGTGCATTGCAACAGACAGCCGTTTTCCGTTGTTTTCTATAACTATCCTGTCTCTCTCCCCCTCCCCCCCTTCCTGCTCCCCCTTCCCCTCTCCCTTGGCCCTCACCTCCCCCACCAGGTGAAGAGCATAGGCAAGTTCATCTCCACGCAGCGCACGGATGGTATATCCACATCGGACATCATAGCGCGCATCATCCCCTCCCCCTCCCCCTTCCAACCTTCCCCCCTTCCCCCTCTCCCTTCCCCCTCCCCCTCCTCTTTCCCCACCAGGTAAAGAGCGTAGGCAAGTTCATCCCGACACAGCGCACGGATGGTATATCCACATCGGACATCATAGCGCGCATCATCTCTCGCAGGGACGACTACATTCTTCGCAACCTTTCCCGGGGATACTTGCCCTCTGCGCTCGGCCTCTCCTTCCCTGCTGTAATAAGCCCTGTTTCCTGCTGTGATAAGCCTTTTTACTTGCTGTGATAAGCCTTCTTACTTGCTGTGATAAGCCTTCTTACGTGCTGTGATAAGCCTTCTTACCTGCTGTGATATGATAAGCCTTCTTGCCTGCTATGATATGCCTCCCTGCCTGCTTGCACACGCCTTTTCTTGAATGCCGTTTTTTTTTTTTTTTTTTTTTTTTTTTTTTTTTTTTGTGAAAGTTGTAGGTTCGTGGTTGAGAAAATGGCTCATTGTGAATCGAAATTGCATCTTCCCTGCACCATCCCTGCCCTCATACTGACCTTCCTATCCCTGCACACACTCCCCTCTTCCTCCATCATACTCCTCCCTTCGTTCTTTCTCCCATCCCCCATCCCCTTCCTCGTTCTTAGCCAACCCGAGCGCTCTCCTTTACCCTCTTTTCTTTCATTTCTCATACCCTAAAGTGGGTCCTGTTCATGCAATGAATAAGTGTGCTTCCTGGCTTGTTATCCAGACCAGAGCACCAATGTGCACTTGCAATTTCCTTTTCATGGTTCCCACGCATTTACTTCAGGTGTGCTACTATCGAGGGAGCCTCCTCCTTGCAGACATGTATAAGAACATCGATCGAATGATCAAATGGCTGTCATGCCTCCCAGGCATCTCTTGGCTCTTCAACTCAGCATGTAATCTCTGTTCTTTGCGCCTCCTGCCATACTTTTTGAGGCTCATATATTTGAACGTTTTTTTCAAGCCCCTGTATGCATATACTTGAGTCAGACTAATAAAAGCCGGTGTGACTTCTCGGCATATAGACAGTGTCCAAATGAGCAAGCAGGTCTCCGTGCATGTTGCCAGTCCCTTGTTTCACCACATTCTCCTCTTTTCAGACAGCCAGCCTCCCAAGGTTCTAGTGACTTTTCCTTCCCTTCCTATCCCTACCTCTTGTCTCCCTTTCATTCTTACGGTCGTTCCTCATGTCCTTTCCTTCCCAACACCACCTTCTTCCCCCCCCCCATCACGTGCTTTCTGCAACCATTTCCTGCTCCATTCCCCACAGCACCATCAGCAAAAAGCGGCCATCCAAAGCAACAGTGATGATATTCAGAGGTCACTACTCCTGCCACCACCGCTGCTACTGCTGCGGCCCCCGCTGCTGCCGCTGCTGCCTCTGCTGTTGCCGCTGCTGCCTCTGCTGCTGCCGCTGCTGCCTCTGCTGTTGCCGCTGCTGCCTCTGCTGTTGCCGCTGCGGCCCCCGCTGCTGCTGCTGCAGCCCCCGCTGCTGCCGCTGCTGCCTCTGCTGTTGCCGCTGCTGCCTCTGCTGCTGCTGCCGCCACTCATCACGCCTGTCACCACCACCATGGCGTGTGCTCCTGCTCGTAACATCTTCCCTAACAGCTCCTTGGGGGCTAACTTCAACATGAGAAGTCACCGTCACTTGTGCTAGCAGCTCCTGTCCAATCCCATCCCATCTCCACCCACTTTGCTGGAATAATTCTTTGAACAAATCTGACTTGACCTCTCGGTCTGGCACCAGTTGTGCTAGGTTTTGTCGCTCCTCTCCCTCTCTTCGGCCCCCCTGTGCGTTGCTTTTGCATCTCTGTATAGCCGCTGCCAATGCATCTCTGTGTATAGTCATCTTGCATTTCCTGCCACGCGGGGGCTTGAGGACCACAAGTTGTGGTATAGCCAAACTCTCTACGGTTCGTTGGTTGTGGTACAGTGATTATACAATTTGGTGTACGACATATTGTGTACATAATGCAGCAAATTGTGCATTCGCTCTTAGACTTAGAGGCATGAAGTTGTGTGATTTATTAGGTCAAGGGGGGGTACAAGAAGCATGTTGTACCCCCTAGTGCTAACCCCCATATAGCCTAGACAACCTAAACATAACATATAAATATAACTTGACACACCCCCATAGGCGAAATGGGGGATAGCCAGAGCAAGCAAAGGTCACAAGACCAGTCAAGAGAAGAAACAAAACACAGCTCAGGATGGATCACAAAGTCACCACACACACTGAGCACAAGCAAGAGGCCACAAGGCCAGTTCACATGCAGAGATGTATATGCAGCAATAGCACAGTGATCACTACCTAGCAAGAGCAAGCATGCAGGTATATATATATAGATCACAGTACAAGCAGAATCTACAGCAAGTGTGGAAACGTAGGCACAAGGCCCAACAAAGTACAAAAGCGCTGATGATCACCAGACGGAAGTGCCTTGGTGAATATATCAGCAGTGTTGGCCCGAGTGGCCACGTCAGCAAGACAAAGCTGACCCCGCTGCTGCAACTCTCGAGCTAGGAAGTAACGCAGAGCGATGTGCTTCGTTCTGTGCTCCAGTCTGTGCTCCTCACACAAGGCAATGGCGGCCTTGTTGTCGACGTACAGCACTGGAGGAGAACGAGGCCGCTCTCCCAGGTCGGTCAGCAGGTAGGTGAGCCAGCGTAACTCCTGTGCAGCCATGGCTGTGGCGTAGATCTCAGCCTCACAACTGGAGCTGAGAACTGAAAACGAGCGTGTAGAACGCCAAGAAACAGAGCCAGAACCAAGGCTGAAGGTGTAACACTGTGACGACCGCTGTGTAGCCTGGTCGTCAACCCAAGAAGCGTCTGAGTGCCCAGTGAGGACAACTGCGCTCCGCCCTCCAAGCACGAGCCCCATGCCCGATGTACTGCACAAGTAGCGTAGTACCCTCTTAGCAGCATCCATGTGCACCTTTCGGTGCCGACCAGGAGCCACGTAGCGAGCCAGAAGGCCAAGAGGGTACGCAAGGTCAGGACGAGTGCAGGTACATGAGGCAGCCCACTAGCTCTGGGTAAGGACCACTCGGCTCTACGGACTCGTCCGAAGGTGGAGCTGAGAGCGAGTGACCTGTAGCCAGAGGAGTGTGCTGTGCCGAGGACCAGGTGAAGCCGAAGCGCTGAAGGACCTGCTGCACCATGTGTGACTGAGTCAGTGTGATGGTGCGGCGTGCTCTGTCCCGGGTGATCCGCAAGCCAAGATAGCTTGTCAGCTCACCCAGGTCTGTGCACGTGTGTCTCTTCTGCAGCTCCGACTTCACCAGGGCGAGAGCCTCAGTGTCAGCAGTGGCAAAGACCAAGTCGTCGACGTACACGAGGATGTAGAACGGCGGCAGCGAAGTGTCGGTGCGCAGAAACAGCGACGGGTCAGCAGTCGACGGAGCAAACCCAAGAGCCGCAAGTGTCGTCCTCAGTGTGTCGTGCCACTCACGTGGCGCCTGGCGGAGACCGTAGACCGGCCGCCTGAGGCTCCACTGGGTACCAGGAGGGAACAACCCAGTGAAGCCAGGTGGGCGGCGCAGCCAGATCTCCTCGTGCAGGCTGCCCTGTAAGAAGGCTGTGCTGAAGTCAAGAGAGTGAAGCTCGTAGTCACGCTGAGCGGCAACGTGCAGCAGCACCCGAAGAGTGGTCATCTTCGGGGTGGGGGAGAAGGTCTGGAAGAAGTCTACTCCCTCTCGCTGACTGAAGCCTCGTGCAACGTAATGCGCCTTGAAGGCAGGCGGAGAACCTGGCGGCCGCTTCACCCTGAAAATCCACATGCCACTGACGATGTTCGCCCCAGGTGGGGGAACCTCGTCGACGTAGGTGCCTGTGGACTTCCAGGATGCCATCTCTGCGTCCATGGCTGTCTGCCACTGAGAGGAGTACTCACCCGCGATCGCCTCAGCGTAAGAGCGCGGGGTCGGGATGTCTGGAGCATCCGGGTCTCCCTCAGGGGCAAGCAGCATGGACACGAGATGAGGCGCAGCGGCTGCAAGACACTCAAGGTCCTCCTGCCTGTCCTCAAGGACGTCCGTGCCAAGAGCACACTCACCCCCGACGGACGGAGGACAGACAGACTCAGACTCAGCAACAAGACTAGCGGCGTAGTCTAGACGACAGGCAGCA